ACCCAGGCCCCCTCACGTGCTCGCTGACGTCATCGAGGTTAGTCGCATTATTCATCTCGGTGCCCTCAAAGGGGAAGCGCCCGATCAGCATCACGCAAAGCATCACGCCGGCTGCCCATATGTCCACCTTTGTGCCATCATACAAGCCCTGCTAGCGTCGCGGTGGTGGTGGGGTTTGGGGGGCGGCACTTGTGAGTGTTCTTTGGAAGAAGAGGAAAGGTGGGATGCGGCCGCGCACGCATGCGTGGCTGTGTTTGTCTGGGTGCATGTTCGCGCGCACGTGTGTGGTGTGTGTGCACGCGCCAACACGTGCGTATGCATGTGTGTGTGTGTGTGTGTGTGTGTATGCTCGCGCGCTGACATGTATGTGTGTGTGGGAGAGAGAGAGTGTGCATGCGCACGCCCATACGCGTGTGCTGGCCGACGTTCAGCCCAACAACAGCAGCGCTGAGACCCCAGGAGCGCCGCCAGCCCCCGCCCCTCACCTGCATGCAGGGCGCCCCCAACTTGGCCCCCAGCAGCTGCGGGCTCATGTAATCCTGCGGAAGATGAAGAGGCAAGGGGGGTGACGGCCCCAACATCAATGACTTGGACGTCTGCCCCAAGGTTCACTAGTTTTCAAGAAATTACCTCAAATCTGCGCAACAGAGTGGGCAGGGGACCGCTGCTGCGGCGCCAGGGGGGCGCCGCAGCTGCGCCGAGGGGGCAGCACGGGCGGGCGCCTGGGGCGCGCTGCGGGGCGGCCCTTGCGCGCGCGCGCTGGCAGGCGGCGCGCTGACCGGGGTGCCTGTGATGGTGGTCATGTGGGGCTGGGCGCCCATCCAGTTGCGCGCAAACCCGAACTGCGGGCGGGGCGGCGGGGAGCGGCCAAAAAGGGGTATGACGCCATGGGTGGGGGAAAGAAAGGGGCCCAGTCAGCAGGAGGCAGCCGCCAGCCGCAGACCGGGGACCGAGCCTGCCGCCGCGCGCCGCCGCGGCCCCACGGCGGCCGGCGGTCGCGCGAGGCCGTTGCAGAGCGCCGCCAACCCCCCAACCCTGCGACCTCGACTGCGGCCTCCGCTTCACGGCCCTCGGGACGAGCCAGATCAACCCCAACGCGAGCCCAGCCGGCCGCGACCCCCCTGCTTCCCCCTCTGCCGGGGCATGCTGTCGGCTGGCCAGAGCTGTCGCGCGCGGCCGCTCTGCAGCTGCGCCCCCGCGAGAACGTGTCCCGAGTGCCCGCACGCGGCGTGACCTGCCCTTGCCTGGGACCCCTGCGCTGCCCCCCCTCCTCACATCGCAGAGCTTGATGCGCGGCGGGTCCTCGTCATCCAGCAGGGTGTTGTCCATTTTGAGGTCCCTTTTGGCGGGAAAAACGAGTTCGAATTTGCATGTTGAAACGGTTGGTGGGGACGCGTGCCGGAAGAGCATGGTGGAGCAGACTGATGTGGGCGTTTGGCTGGGGCAAGGTAGTGGAAGCAGTGGGGGGGGGTTCGAGGACGATGAAGGGGGGCCCCTGAAAATGCACGCACAAATGCACCCACGCACACGCACACACACACGCGCACGCGCACAACACAATAAACACAAACTTACCTGCCCAAACACTCTCTGGCACGATCTATTTCTCTCATGCACGCGCGTGCTCTTTCCGGCCACCCCCCACCTGTGAGCGACCTGGTGTTGGTGGCAGTACTCCACGGCGCTGATGATCTGGGGAAGGAGGGTGGGGGCGCAGGCCAGGGGGTGCGCGGCAAAGGTGGACGGGCGCAGGAAAGGAAGTCTACGCTGCCTCTCCGCTCTTCCATCATGTGGAGGGACGCGCGCTCGTCCCTCCACACGTCTCTTTCTCCTTCCTGCTTTGAGTCCATACCTGTCTCCTTTTTCCCCGATGCCACCCGTCGCGTCTCGATCACGCTCAAGTTTTGCATCCTGGATGTTGCTTCTCCACACAGACCCACTCACACACATGCACACTCATACACGCGCACATACAATAGGGCACAGCGACAAATACAGAAACAAATGCAGAGACACACAATCACATATATAATCACCCCCCACCCCCACACACAGTCCCACACATACCCACACGCACGATGACACTCCCCAAACTCCCCCTAACCTGCTTGAAGAAGTACAACGCCTCGTCCTCGTCCATCACCAGCCCGTCCCGCCGGTCAAAGTCCCCAAACTTCAGCAGGATCGACTTCAGAATGTGATCCGCCATGTTGCCGCCCGCCACGTACTCCATCACCAAGCCGAGGTGCGTCCTGCGGGCCGCACGGGGGAACAGATAGGCACACGGTGAGCCACGTCGATGGCCGCAACAGCCGGAGGGGCGGGGGCTGGTTGGCTGCTGGCGCTTGTCCTGAGAAGCCCCGCAGCGGCCCTGCAGCGCGCGCCCTCATCCCCTGCCGCCACAGCCGCAGGCCTCCGCCGCCGCCGCGGCGCCTGGAGTTCCCCCGGACGGGCCCCGCCCCAGCTCGCGCGGCCGACCAACCTCGTGAGCACGACCTCCCTCGGCTTCACGATGTTGAGGTGCCCCTTCCCCAGCTCCGCCCCGATCTTGACCTCGCGCATGATGCTAGTGCCCATCATGGGCGGGATCGGCCGCCTGATCAGCTTGATGGCCACAACCTCCCCACTTTCGCGGTCCTGGCACAGCCAGGTGTCGCCGGCAGAGCCGGATCCCAGGAGGTGTTTCACGTCGTATGCTTCTGACAGGCCGCCTTCGGGGCGGCGGGCGGAGGTGCGGCGGGGGGCGGCGGCGGGAGGCGAGCGGTGGGCGGCCTGCCGGGCGCGGCTGCGAGCTCGCCATCGCTGCACGGGCGGGTTCTTACGGCGTGTGCGCGCCTGATCGCGTCTGCTAGCCGCGCTCGCATGCACGGCGTTGAGCAGAGCAGATGATGTTTGTGCCGAAGCCGCTGCCGCCGTGCGGACGGGTCGTAGTGGGGCGCATGCGGTGCATAGCGGCAGGCAGCGCCAGCGCGGCGAATAAGGCTGATGCCCGCCCAGGCGCTGTCGCATAGGCGCCACAAGCACCTGTCTGATCTTCAGGGGTGTCGTCCGGTGCGTCCGCATCCGGTCTGCTGCAGCACGCGCCCATGGCCGCGCCGACGCCCCCGCGAGGGTTGGTTGCGCCGCCGGCGGACCGTGACGCACCAATGCAGCGAGTATTGAGCAGCGGCGCTGAGGGCTGCTGCGGCCGCTGCACGTGCTGACGTTAGATTTACGCGGTGAACTCCCAAGATGCTTGTATGATAGCAGCTCTGTCGCTTGCCCTACGCTGCCCACTGATGGGATGTGTTTGTGGGGGTAACCATGGCGCCGCACCGGCTACATAAGGTAGATGAAGACGTTAGCACTGATATAATTGATAGAGTAGCACTCGCAAGGGGTATCAGCCGAGCGATCTTGTTGACACACCAGGTAGAGTGTCAGGGCGGGTTCAGAGGGCAATTTGGCGTGTAGAATAAGGTACCGATTAGTTGGCGAGATGCACGGCTGATTGAGCCAAGCGGCTTTCTCTGGAGGCAAGGTAGGGTTACACAGAACAAAACATGGGTGACAACTGAAATGACGCAAGCGCTGCACAATGGGGGCTGGGGAAGGCATGACCTACCACATGCATGCGATAGCACAAGTGCTTAACACACCATCCAACCCTTGGCGGTGCAGGGCGAGCGGCAGGCTGCGGCGGTCAAACCCACATTGGCCCCGTCACTCTGCTGCACCAGCTTGTTTCCCCTGACCAATAAACATTCGTTTCAGCTGAGTATATACACATGGTCCATGCATTCGCTGCGAGGCAGGGGAATGATACATACCCGTGCAGGGGCTGCCACGTCGGCGGGGCGGG